TGGAGTTTTCTGGGTTTTCTCCACATCTGTAACACCTGAATAGGGGTCAGTTACCCTATTCAGGAAGGCATTCACTCTAGGCCAATTGCCCGAGTGTTGCATTGCCATAATTTAATAAAACAAACAAAGAAACTTAAAAATGTTAACAAAATTCATTTATAATCTTAGTTCGAAACATGTTTATCTCAATCTAACTTTATAATATCAAGTATCTTTATTTTATATAATCTTATTTAAATTACAATGGTATACATATGTACTTATTCTTAATTTTAGGTCAAAGACTCCAAAGGGAAGACGTAGTCGTTCAAGGGGGCGTTCCCGGCGATCATATTCATCTGTTTCTTCTCGATCATATATATCACAGTAAGTTAAAATTTTTTGTTAGAAATTAATTTTATTCAGAAAAGTATTAAAATCAAATATAAAGCAGGATTCTAATAGAATTTTAAAAATAAATTAATTAAAATTAAAATTTGTTAATTATAAATCTATATAATTCATCAACTGATAAAGCCAGCATGACTGAAAGATTAAAAATTTAATTTAAATATTTATGTGAATGATAAAAAATGTTTTAAAACAATCAAATAAGAATTAATTATATTTAGTTATTAATTATAAAAAATTTTTGAAAGACAATAATAAATGATTTATTGTCTTTCAAAAAAGAATTTCTCAATTTACTTGAAGAAAATTCTTTTTGTGGAGATTTAATATTTGTTACTTTAATTAATAACTAAATATAATTAATTCTTATTTGATTGTTTTAAAACATTTTTTATCATTCACATAAATATTTAAATTAAATTTTTAATCTTTCAGTCATGCTGGCTTTATCAGTTGATGAATTATATAGATTTATAATTAACAAATTTTAATTTTAATTAATTTATTTTTAAAATTCTATTAGAATCCTGCTTTATATTTGATTTTAATACTTTTCTGAATAAAATTAATTTCTAACAAAAAATTTTAACTTACTGTGATATATATGATCGAGAAGAAACAGATGAATATGATCGCCGGGAACGCCCCCTTGAACGACTACGTCTTCCCTTTGGAGTCTTTGACCTAAAATTAAGAATAAGTACATATGTATACCATTGTAATTTAAATAAGATTATATAAAATAAAGATACTTGATATTATAAAGTTAGATTGAGATAAACATGTTTCGAACTAAGATTATAAATGAATTTTGTTAACATTTTTAAGTTTCTTTGTTTGTTTTATTAAATTATGGCAATGCAACACTCGGGCAATTGGCCTAGAGTGAATGCCTTCCTGAATAGGGTAACTGACCCCTATTCAGGTGTTACAGATGTGGAGAAAACCCAGAAAACTCCATATGGCCAGCCCAACCTGGTGAGGTGCAAACCTACGACTGAACTCCTAGTGTTCAGGGAATGGAAATGCTTGGTTACTGGTGGGCTCATTTTTAACAGCAATATGAAATCTTTCGTGTATAAATGCTAAAATAAACTATTTGATTAACTATATGAACATAAGTGATTTCAAAAAGGGAAATGTTGCTGTTCTTGTGTGAGTGAGAAATTTTTTTTAAGTTGGTGATACAGTATTAAGCAGGAAATTGAGTAGTGATTTACCAAGGACTAATTTTATTACTTTTAGTGCTTTGGCAATTGAAATAAATTCTGTCCATTGCAATGTACAGTACACCTGGTAAGAAGAGAAAAAAAAATTAAAGATTAAAGATTTTAGATGATAGCATTACAGTTACACCTTATTTGGAAAGTACTTCAAAGTGCAAAATTTAAGAAGTTAATAAAAAATGACAAATTGCAAAATGAAAGAATAAATTTGTGCAATTTAAAAATTGACAAATTACAATTACAATAAAAAAAAATTTGATTTCAATTTTATGTTCATACAAACAATATAACTTCTCAGAAATTAATTTTGGAATTTATTAAAAGTCAAAATATAATTATTTTTGTTTATTCCTTATTATATTAAAAAAAATTTCTAGTTCAAAGTTGAATAGTATAATTTTTTGTCACTGAAAGGTAAAGTTCATAAAGTTGCAGATATTGATTGTAAATTTTTTAAAATCAAATTGTTGTTATGTATTTAAATGTGATTATTAAATCAAAACTGCATAACTATTTTAACTAATATGAAAAAATCAGGTTTATAAATTTTCTGTTTGTTAGTTTTGTTGGTTGATATTATTTTTTTAAAGTAATGAATAATAATTGATTAAAAATATGCAAAAATTTTTTCTTTCATTACAATGTTATCTCAAAACTTATGAAAGAAAAAAAAAATACAAAATTTGTAGTTTAGTATGTAATTAAATTAAAGTATATATTTATATTTTCCATCACCATCTACATAAACAAACATAGAAATTATATATATATGTTAGGCTCAAAGACCAAAATCACTCATTGAGCAAAAAAAACAACCACAACGCATTGTGGTCGTTTCAAAACAACCACAAAGCAAAATCCGCGTCATGGCTTTCACGATATTTGACCACTACACATTGTGGTGATTAAGAAAAGCCATAATGCATTCTGAACGTTAGCTGATGCAACCACAATACAAAGAATAGACTGTAACTTGTCAACGGGCGCATTGCAAACACTAGTTTGTATTGTGTTCATTCTTGACCACTGCTGCCTTTTCTAGAGTAATTTCAATCTCTCAACTAATGTTTCGGGTAGTCTTATATTTAGGGTAAATCTAGGGTAAAACTACCCTGTGTTCTGATGCTGTTACTCATCGCTCCACAAGTTTCGCTGGAAAAAGTTTTAGCCTAAAAGTATTCTGTTTTTCCCTATAACTAGAGGGTTTTGAGATAGGACAACAGAAGCTAAAGAAATATGCAGATTGATGCTTAGTACATGGGTGTACACTGTACAGTGATACTTCAATTTTTGTCGATAATCCATCCAAAAACAATCAGCGAAATCTGAAACTGACGTCAACGAAAACCAAGGTATTACTGTATATTACATCCAAGTAGGATTTTGCTTTTCTCAACCTTCATGCCATTGAGCCATTGGCACTCTCCATATCAGATGTAAATTAATACCTCTGATAAAGCCTAAAAATCCTAAGACATTTTAGTTATTAAAATTTTCAAAACAATAAGAATTGTTCTGATTATTATTTCACAATAATAGTACAGGGATTTGTGTCATAGAATTGTTCCTCTTATTTCTTTTTATTCAAGCTTGAGCTCGAGCTCAGAGAGTATTCTCAATTTAAGGTAATTTTCTGCAGTTGAAATTGGTTATTATTATTTTAGTTAGGGTGCCTAATGTTGATAGGAGACGTGCAGCTCCCAGAAATGTTTTAGCTGTTGTTATGAGCATTAATCCACCAGTTAGGAAACAAGAAAACTCTTGATCAACTTTATGCTCGTAATGAATTTACAATTTCTACAGTAACTTTATTAACATTCAGAACGCACCCTCATCTTTATTAACACTTTGCTCAACATCCATGTTAACATCTGGAAGTAAGCAAGAGTTTATAATGTGTCACTGTAAAAGATACTATATTGATAAAAATGCAAATGTTGCTCAAAGAACATAAAATGCATGAATAATTAAATGTTGTTGTAAAGTAACCAAGTTAAATTTCTGTATATGGTGAATAATTTTGTTACCTGCATATATAAAATGATTGAAGATAAATAAGTAATAATGAAAAATAAAATTTAATTTTCTTATCATCGCTCATTATTAGTTAATATCTAGAACGTGTGATGGCTTTTAACCATAATAAATCCGTTGCACAGTGGTTTTTAACTTTAGCAGCTGATTTTTATTTTATCACGTATAGTATATCAAGCACCTACAAGTATATGTAATTAGACCTTTAGCACTTTTTAATGAAACAAAAGAAACAAGTGTGTATTTTTCTCCATATATTTTATTTCTTGAAAATTTTTTTAATCATGAAAATTAAATTTCTAGGTAAACTTGTAGAACTAATGTTGTTTGGCATTAAAAATTGTAAATAAAAATGTTTTGAGCCTAGAATCCATATTTTAAAGTTACAAACTGTATTGTGGTTGCATCAGCTAATGTTCAGAATGCGTTATGGCTTTTGTTAATCACAACAACATGTAGTGGTCAAATATCATGAAAGCCACAACACGAATTTCGCTTTGTGGTTGTTTTTACAAATGCCATGACACGAATTTCACTTTATGGCCATTTTGAAATGACCACAACGCATTGTGGTCGTTTTTTTTGCTCAATGAGCAATTTTGGTCTTTGAGCCTAACATATACAAATGAAATTAAGAATATTTAAGCAGATAAAATTTTTTTTCTGAGAACTACACATATTTACTAACACTTATGTGCAAAATTCAATACAGTATATGAATTTTACAATTCATACACACAAAATATTTGAAATTTTTGAATTGTCACCAGGACAAGATAAAGTGTCATAGACACAATGATAAGCTGCTTATGAACCATTTAGAAAAGCAAAATTACAAACAATAATTCATCTAGACTATAATTGTGCATAATGAGAATATAAAATAGCCAGTAAAATAAATTATTATTATTGTGTTGGTGGATTGTACCATACTGTCAATACTGGTACTATGCCAATCATCATCAAGACAGTTTACTTGATAATCATAAGTTTGTTTAACACTAAACAAAATTATATTAAAAAATGAGCAATTATTTATTGTGACATCATCATAATGCCTGTACACAATACTTTTCCTTTAACAATAGTGTCATGCCAGTCATCCATCTAACATCTTTCAGGGAAAAATTTTTGAATTGAACTAACATGACTTCTGGTTTGGATATAACGTTCATATATAGTTAATCGGGGTCTCCTGCCCCTAAGGTTTCCATATCTGGTCTCATCTTACATCTATCTAACTCCTTTCAAGATTAAGGAAAGACAGATGACGACAGTTATAGACGAATTTATAGGTCTATAATTTTTCAAATTGCAGCTTAATGAAAATTTAATACATTAACTGAAAAATTTTCATTTATTTCTTTTTTGTTTGTTAAACTATATTTACTACTGAGTATCAAATTGATATAGTTACTGTTGACTATGACATGTCACCATGATAGTAACTTATCACAAAATGTAGGAAGGGTGTAGCAGTAACATACTAATTAAAAATACTATTAATTTTATTTTCCACTTTTAGAAAAATAAATTCTCTATTTTTAAATTTTATAACAAACCTTCTCCATGGATCTCTCCATTCATCACCTCTTGTTCTATTTGACTGAACTTCAGAATATCTATCTTCTCTCCATCGTTCCTTTTCTGCACTTCTTCTACCCATCCTATGTCAAACAAAAATCATAGCAAAATAAACTAAATATATATCTGTTAAATATAGTTTTTATACTATTATTATACTGATAACCATATGCATCACTGGTAGTATAGAAAATAATTTAGGAATTACATCTGTCACTAGCAATATATTTAATCATTAATTATTAATCTATGATTTGAGAAAAAGTTAATGTGTTTTGAGCTGTCCAGCTGTTCAGAAATCAAATATAATATAAACAGGAAAAAATTTCCTATTTGTAAGTTTTTCTAAGCACATTAAAACTTATATTGATGATATAAAAGGATTTATATATTTTGTTAAATATTTTTCATGTTATATACGATATTCACAGACAATTTTTATTGAAATAGTAAAATTCTTAATATATTCTTAATACATTTCTATTGTATTTATTTTTATAAGACATTTTATAAATTGGAACAAATTTATATACAATATTTAGTTTCAAAACTGCAATCTCTACAGTAAAACAGAAGTGAAATAATGTGTTACATTATTTATTATAAATATTCCAACAATATATATTTCAATATATAATTAATGATAGATGTAATTTTCCAAGAGATATTTAGTATAGGACCAAATGTATCAGCAATGATACAAAGTTTTCTGTCATCTATTTCAATTCAAATTAATTCAATATAATCATTTCTTACTTTTCTCTCTCATATGATCTTCTGTGTGATCGAATTCGTTCCTTTTGTCGATGCTCCTACATAAATTTAGATAAAATGCTCATATTGAATATAAAAATTTTTATAAAAATACATAAAAACAAATAGTTTTCATTATAACATTTTGAGAATAAACTATAATTATTCTTACAATCAATAATTTAAAAAAAATTAGTGTGTTGTAAAAAAAAACTAGCTAAAATAGATGTCAATATTCTTGAAAGTTACTTATCAGAATGTTAAAAACAAGTACAAATAGAATAATTTTAAACAGAATAGATAAATTTGAGGAAATTAATTATATATTGTTTACAATTTGATGCTTTATAATGCCCTTCTAAGATTATGTTGATTTCAATAGAATTGGCAGAGGAAAGATTCACTTAAGAATATGATTTATAGTAAATAAAACAAAATTAAATTATATTTTAGTAAAGTAAAATAGAGGTAAAAGAAATGTCATAATTTTTTAATTTATAGTAATTTTTTCTAAAGAGTTAAGTTATGATAAACAACTAAACTGATTCTCAAAAATTCACAAATAAAAAATTTTGGTAAATGTAAGTAATATCCTTGAAAGCAATTCTTAATAAGAAAATTCTGGAAAATAATTTATTTTGCTTACTCGTTGCTCTAATTCTCGTTTTGGCCATCTAACTTCAAAATTTTCATAACGACCTGCACGCCAATGTTCTCTGGGATCATGAACAGGAATTTCATAATCTCTTATTTCATCATATCTACAAAAATTCATGAATAAAATGTATAATATAATATAATATATTTGTTTACATTTTAATGATAATATCTTGTTTTAAAATAATACATACTTCAAAATAATTAATTTACCTATAATAATTATAGACATCTGGTGGTCTTCGATAAGATGGACTTCTGTTATAATAGTCATCCTCTTTATCAAACTCCTCTCCTGCACTATCATTTCCATCTATAGTCAGATTTAAACGTTTTTCTTCAAAATCTGGTTCTTGCTCTTTTCTCCTAATGGCTTTCTTCATTAGCTATAGATAATATATTTATGGTGCCATTTTGAAATATTTCTTAATACATTAATTTATAGGTACATAGATTAAAGAAACAACAAAAATTTGAATAGTAGAATCAAATTATTATTAATACTAAAATTCTTGCTTCAGGAAGCCAATGATAGTTAGCATTTTAGTATCAATACAATAGTATGGTGGTGGAGATATAAGAAGTAGAGTCAGAATAAACTAAAAATACTGCACATGCTAAGTATTATTCTAAAACTTTTCTATTATATTTATTACATGACATACATTTAATGTTTTTAGTTATATTTTATATTTCAGCCATAATATATATTATTTATACATTCTGCATTCTAATTTAATACATGCACAGAATTTATTTCATATTGGTGATATCATTATCATTTGTCACTAGTCACCACCTTATTCAAATGAGAGTTTGAAAGTTCCTATAAATCATGAATCAAAACTGGTAGAAGCATAAGATTCTAATTTGCCTTATGTCTTAGTCTATAGAGAGAAATGAAACAGAGTGAACCTCAAGAAAAAGAAAACTCAGCGTAAATAGCTGTTAAATAGTGTGTCCCAAATTGGGGTGGCTAATTTATAAACACATGACTTTAGTTACATAAGCACATCCACTACTGTAGATCAAACCAAAATGGAATATGATTGATATATTCGCAGTATAATACTGCCTGTCCAGTGGTAAAATAAAAAGCGTTTGAAAAAATTTAAACAATCTAAAAGTATTAATTATAATAATAAATAAATAGTCTAAATTTAAAATTATTTGCATATAAAACTGAATATATTTACTTCTTTAGCATGCCTAAGTCCACGTTCCCATGCTGATTCACTAACAGGAACATCAGATGGAGGTGGAGGTGGTGGAGGAAGGTAATCAGGTACATTAGGAGGCTAATATTAAATAAATTATATAAATTTTATTTTATAAAAATGATTCTGCATTAGAACTTATAGTATTATGCATAAAATCAAAACTAAATTATAAATAATAATATTTTTTTATGTTAAAATAATCAGTTCTATATTATTCTCTATCTATTAAGTGCGCTATAAATCAATAAATACATCATAAATTTCATATAGTAAAATAGATCAATAAATCCATTAAATAATCCACTAATTATTTATGTTTATTTTCTGGTTATTTATTTTTAGTTTATACATATTGATTAATATCACAGAAAAACATTAAATCATATCACAGAAACAATCAGAAAATCCATCAATTATGCTGCTACTTAAATAAATTTGGATCATGATAAATTCAGTTTAAGTAATAATGGAATATATCAAAATCAATCGTACAATGTGATTAATCTGTATCCTACCCTTAAACATTATCATAAATATTAAAGTAATGAATATATAACCCAATTCTAGTCACAAGTACTATAAGACAACTTGATAAGCCCAATGATCCAAGTACTTTTAATATTTGAGATTGCCATCAAGTATTCAATAAATGGCGAGCTGCAGAGTAAGGCACAAATAAATACAAAATTCCAGTAGTCATCAGAATGCAAATCTAAACTGTTCAAAATGCCAAGACAGCACTAAACAATTTGAAATCATCCTAATTCTAAAATTCTTATTATAAGCCAGTTAATTAAAATTCATACTAANCTGCACATGCTAAGTATTATTCTAAAACTTTTCTATTATATTTATTACATGACATACATTTAATGTTTTTAGTTATATTTTATATTTCAGCCATAATATATATTATTTATACATTCTGCATTCTAATTTAATACATGCACAGAATTTATTTCATATTGGTGATATCATTATCATTTGTCACTAGTCACCACCTTATTCAAATGAGAGTTTGAAAGTTCCTATAAATCATGCATGAATCAAATCTGGTAGAAGCATAAGATTCTAATTTGCCTTATGTCTTAGTCTATAGAGAGAAATGAAACAGAGTGAACCTCAAGAAAAAGAAAACTCAGCGTAAATAGCTGTTAAATAGTGTGTCCCAAATTGGGGTGGCTAATTTATAAACACATGACTTTAGTTACATAAGCACATCCACTACTGTAGATCAAACCAAAATGGAATATGATTGATATATTCGCAGTATAATACTGCCTGTCCAGTGGTAAAATAAAAAGCGTTTGAAAAAATTTAAACAATCTAAAAGTATTAATTATAATAATAAATAAATAGTCTAAATTTAAAATTATTTGCATATAAAACTGAATATATTTACTTCTTTAGCATGCCTAAGTCCACGTTCCCATGCTGATTCACTAACAGGAACATCAGATGGAGGTGGAGGTGGTGGAGGAAGGTAATCAGGTACATTAGGAGGCTAATATTAAATAAATTATATAAATTTTATTTTATAAAAATGATTCTGCATTAGAACTTATAGTATTATGCATAAAATCAAAACTAAATTATAAATAATAATATTTTTTTATGTTAAAATAATCAGTTCTATATTATTCTCTATCTATTAAGTGCGCTATAAATCAATAAATACATCATAAATTTCATATAGTAAAATAGATCAATAAATCCATTAAATAATCCACTAATTATTTATGTTTATTTTCTGGTTATTTATTTTTAGTTTATACATATTGATTAATATCACAGAACAAACATTAAATCATATCACAGAAACAATCAGAAAATCCATCAATTATGCTGCTACTTAAATAAATTTGGATCATGATAAATTCAGTTTAAGTAATAATGGAATATATCAAAATCAATCGTACAATGTGATTAATCTGTATCCTACCCTTAAACATTATCATAAATATTAAAGTAATGAATATATAACCCAATTCTAGTCACAAGTACTATAAGACAACTTGATAAGCCCAATGATCCAAGTACTTTTAATATTTGAGATTGCCATCAAGTATTCAATAAATGGCGAGCTGCAGAGTAAGGCACAAATAAATACAAAATTCCAGTAGTCATCAGAATGCAAATCTAAACTGTTCAAAATGCCAAGACAGCACTAAACAATTTGAAATCATCCTAATTCTAAAATTCTTATTATAAGCCAGTTAATTAAAATTCATACTAAATATATTTGTTTTTTACTAAAATAATAATAAAATTGGTAAATAGAAATTTACCAAAATTCCAATAGAAGTAACAATTTTGTCCTTTTAGATTATCAAAACAACATACAGGGTGGTTATAATTAAAGTTGTCCTACTCAGACCTGTAGAATCCGTTCTCGTGGACGTATTTTGATGAAACTTGGTATATACATTACACGAATGATGGGGAAAAGGAAAATGCAAAAAAAAAATATTTAGTTTAAATTTTTACTGTTAGGTGAAAAAATGGCACATGAAGAACAAGAAACATAAAATGGAAACATGCAAAAGGTTTTTATTCACAACATTTGTTCAATGTGCAATGCATTTGCATCAATTACATGTTCAAAATGCCTTACAATGCAATCAATTTGCATCAGTCATGTGTTCAAAATAATGCCTTACAGCATTGTAAGGCGTTTTGAACATGTAATTGATGCAAATGCATTGCACATTGAACAAATGTTGTGAATAAAAACCTTTTGCATGTTTCCATTTTATGTTTCTTGTTCTTCATGTGCCATTTTTTCACCTAACAGTAAAAATTTAAACTAAATATTTTTTTTTTGCATTTTCCTTTTCCCCATCATTCGTGTAATGTATATACCAAGTTTCATCAAAATACGTCCACGAGAACGGATTCTACAGGTCTGAGTAGGACAACTTTAATTATAACCACCCTGTATGTTGTTTTGATAATCTAAAAGGACAAAATTGTTACTTCTATTGGAATTTTGGTAAATTTCTATTTACCAATTTTATTATTATTTTAGTAAAAAACAAATATATTTAGTATGAATTTTAATTAACTGGCTTATAATAAGAATTTTAGAATTAGGATGATTTCAAATTGTTTAGTGCTGTCTTGGCATTTTGAACAGTTTAGATTTGCATTCTGATGACTACTGGAATTTTGTATTTATTTGTGCCTTACTCTGCAGCTCGCCATTTATTGAATACTTGATGGCAATCTCAAATATTAAAAGTACTTGGATCATTGGGCTTATCAAGTTGTCTTATAGTACTTGTGACTAGAATTGGGTTATATATTCATTACTTTAATATTTATGATAATGTTTAAGGGTAGGATACAGATTAATCACATTGTACGATTGATTTTGATATATTCCATTATTACTTAAACTGAATTTATCATGATCCAAATTTATTTAAGTAGCAGCATAATTGATGGATTTTCTGATTGTTTCTGTGATATGATTTAATGTTTGTTCTGTGATATTAATCAATATGTATAAACTAAAAATAAATAACCAGAAAATAAACATAAATAATTAGTGGATTATTTAATGGATTTATTGATCTATTTTACTATATGAAATTTATGATGTATTTATTGATTTATAGCGCACTTAATAGATAGAGAATAATATAGAACTGATTATTTTAACATAAAAAAATATTATTATTTATAATTTAGTTTTGATTTTATGCATAATACTATAAGTTCTAATGCAGAATCATTTTTATAAAATAAAATTTATATAATTTATTTAATATTAGCCTCCTAATGTACCTGATTACCTTCCTCCACCACCTCCACCTCCATCTGATGTTCCTGTTAGTGAATCAGCATGGGAACGTGGACTTAGGCATGCTAAAGAAGTAAATATATTCAGTTTTATATGCANCGAATTTACTTGTCACTAGGCTAAACCACAAATAACCATTCCCAGTTCTGTATTTCATTTATAAATGCATTTTTAATAATATATGGCTAATAAGAATCTATTTTAAGCTTACAAACAAATAAATTTTAGTTTTTAATATAGTACGGAAAAAAGTAATCTAAATTTATGAATTCATGTACGTACAATACATACTTGTAAATGTATTGTAAATGTGTACAATTTGGCGATGTTTATAGTACATTGCAGACTCTATTTGTGAATGTGGTTTGCTCTAAGACATTATAAAATAAGATGATTTTGTATGGTTAAATAACAAATACAGTTATTAAAATTATCTTGCGACAGTAGAAAATAAACTAATTTATATTAAATTTACCAATATCGAGTTGTGCTGACAACGATGCCAAATGTTAGATATTGGAGCTACCGTGGAAAACACCAATACTGAGCACTTATAAAGACTGCTAATAAGATAACAACACAGAAACACAGATGTTTTCATGTTTCGTTCTCTAGGATTTCTGATAATTATATTAACATTTACTGTAAATGTACATATTTTAATATGATTTTATGTGCTTTAACGCTTTTCTAGTGATATTACAACTTCAATATTTGTGGCAGACAGACGTAAAGTCAAATAAAATGACTTAAACTTGATTTTTATTTTACCATATATTTTTTGACAAATGATGTATAATCGAGAATGACGTAACTTGAGATATACCTGTATTAAAAAAATGAAATGCCCATACAATGTGCAAATAAAGCAAGCAACACCCTCAAATTTTGTCGATCAGACGTATACGTTTTTTTCCCTTCAACTTATAGGCCAAAGTTCAAACTTCCATAAACCATGTAATAATGCAGGTTTCGATAATGCGATTTCCTATAATGTATAATGAATTCCCTATGTTGTACAGGACTCTACTGTATACAACCATTAATTTCAAAAAAGCCTGCATAATTAATAAGATCTTGCCTTAATTGGTACAGACATGTAATATCATTCAAAATTATTATTAAACAGTATACATATTTTTATATATTATTTTTAAGATTATAGTAATACTTTCATTTATGTGAATTCACTTAAAATATTTAAAAATTTTAAATAACGTTAAACTATCAAGTTTATGGAAATAAACAATATATATAGTTACATCAAAAAGTATATAATTTTTGTTATCAGTAACTTTTATGCACTTGTAGACCTATATTAAGGAAAATAAAACCTCAGTAAGAGTAAAGTAAAACACTGTAGTTGAGAATATGGAACAAATCACTATTTTAAATAGCTTTCCTTAACTTAATTTACATGGTTTTCATGGAATCAATTATTATAAAAACTCAAAAAGTACATCTACAAAAGAAATCATTGCATTATTAAAATAAATTTTATGTAATCCATTAAATTCTTACCAAAGACATTGGACCCATTTGGTTTGGTGTAGGACCAGGTGGTGGACCCATACCTGGTGGTGGTCCCATTCCTACACTATACTGCCTGGGTGGACCAAACATGTTGTAATTTCCTTTGTCATTTACACCTGGATGAATAAATCTACACGAAGTACCCCAAGTACATTGTCCTTTATTATAAAATCTGCAAATAGGTCTTGGTTGTGATTTTCGACTTGAATTAGGATCTTTCACTTCTCCTTCCTCTAGATCATCATCCTACATTTATTATACAAGTTTTATTCATTCATACTAATTTTTATATCAGCAAATTAATTACTTTTAAGATAATGAATATAATTTCATACTCATTACTTACATCAGAAACTTCTCCATCATCATCATCACCTTCTCCCTCTTCTTTTTCCTTTTCTTTATCATACTAAAATATAATTTTATAATTAAAAATATAGCTAAAAATCAAATACAGTAGAACCTCGATTATCCGGACTAATTGGGGATGAAGGTAGTCCAGATAAAGAAAAATCCGGATAATCGAAACAAATACTTTAATTTGTCTTTTAATGATAATACAACATGTTTTCTTTTCGATGACATATCGGTAATATTAAAAATAAATACTGTATTTAAATCGTGATCAAATTTTCAAGAAACAAATGTTTTATTGAATTTGGACTACTACTGACTAGCGCTAACAGACTAGCTATTGTTTAAAAGGCCCTCTGGCGGCTCAAGAAGACGGATTTTATAAAATAAAAAGCAGTTGAAACTGCATTTTTATGAATAAAAATTTGACAAACTATTTATCGTTTTATGACGAGTAAAATTTTTTCGTCGCATTCTCAGCTTTTAAGTAATTCATTAACCTTCAAGGCGCGAGGCCCTTCGGACTGCGAGGCATAGGTGGTGGCCCACGTTGCCCATGCCTTACGCCGCCCTTGGTTATAAAAATGATGTAATTTGAGTATAAATTATTTATAAATACGTACGTCAAGTTATATTTTTATTACGACACAAAATATATTTAAGAGTTTATGACCACTGTGCTGAGTGAGACATTGTTGAAACAAAAAATGTTATGCATTCCATCACATACATAAACAGTGTTGTAATTCGCCAAGTGCAAATCAGCAAATTTGTAAAATTTTTGTTTATTTTGAACAATCCAGATAATCGGTAATCTGGATAATAGAGGCCCGGATAATCAAGATTCTACTATAGTTAATACTGCAATTTTTAAAAAAAAATTTACAATTAATACTGTTGGAATATCTAATCTAAAATTCAAATTTATGCTTGAGTTAGAGAATATTGTTCTTCATTCTTATCCTAGATAAGCAATAAAAACAACGCATATTGCAATGCTCAATATTCATCTAATTCATTAACTTGTGATAACATATAGTAATGATGATTTTCCACACCTACTGGTTGTTTTTCTTGGGCATTTTTCAACAAGTTGACTTTTTTAGTTGTACTTCTATAATAATCCCATGCTATATGCTATCCATCTAACTGTATAAAAATTTCAGTCAATAATCTTTTTCTGCATATCACAGGCTCTTAACAAACTGCTATAGAATATTGCCACTTTATGCATGTAATTGTGTACAAATTTTCTTTAGTGACAAACAATTGCATACATAAATTGTCAATTCTCTGTCCTGACATCATTTTTGATGGCCCAACATTATCAGATCTGGTAATCATGTGACCACCACAATGGTCCTCATGATTACCACAAGAGGTATGCATGATGTCACAGAAGTTTGTCAGCTATGTATGGTGTAATGACATGCATGACCTTGAATGCTTCTCTCCATAAAACAGCCAGCATGCTATAACATTAAACAATTAATTTTTTGGAATCCAAACCATTCTGGTCAACTTCAATAGCTTTGGTGAAGAAATTTTGTCATAAACTATAATTGGTGCTAATGATGTTTTTCCAAGTTGAGAAGGATGATTGATTGTATCACAATCAAGTACTACTAACTGAAGTGTTCTAGCCAGTTCAAAGATTCTTTCTATCTCAGCTTGAACTTCAGCTAGACATGATGATCGACTATTGGACCTTTCTATAATGGCACGTTTACTTGGATTATTTAGGAGGGATCGCTTTGCCAATGATATGTCTGCTGTTACTCTAGTAATTATAATCCTTCCTTCAAAGCGATGCTTCAAGAAGTCGAAGAGAGCTTTCTGCATCATGTCCGTGACCTCATAGCCCTTTAGGGATGGTCCAACTAGAACCACAGGCCGCATTGAAGGCACTACATCATACGGGGGAATGTTCTCTGACTTCTTGAAAAATGGCTTTTCCTTTTCTTTTGCTGGAGGTGTTGTGATGCCATTGTGTTGGAAAAGCCATTTTTCAAGAAGTCAGAGAACATTCCCCCGTATGATGTAGTGCCTTCAATGCGGCCTGTGGTTCTAGTTGGACCATCCCTAAAGGGCTATGAGGTCACGGACATGATGCAGAAAGCTCTCTTCGACTTCTTGAAGCATCGCTTTGAAGGAAGGATTATAATTACTAGAGTAACAGCAGACATATCATTGGCAAAGCGATCCCTCCTAAATAATCCAAGTAAATGTGCCATTATGGAAAGGTCCAATAGTCGATCATCATGTCTAGCTGAAGTTCAAGCTGAGATAGAAAGAATCTTTGAACTGGCTAGAACACTTCAGTTAGTAGTACTTGATTGTGATAAATTAATTTTTTTTTTTTTTTTTTTGCAAATTTTCTTTCTGCCTGAAAAAATACAGAAAAATCATTTTCCAGGCTTTCCTAGAAACACCCCAGCCCTCCTCTAATTTATTTCCAGCTGAACTCATTTCATATTGGCTCATGCTATCACAAAGTTTGAAGGGCTCTAGAGAAAAGGCTAAAGGATAGTTCTGTAAATAAAACAATATCTTGTAAAATAAACAGCTTATGATGTTGAAATTTGGGATGTGTAGAAAAAAATATATGTCACAGGATTCTTCATGATCAACAAATTTGAAGAATGGCAAGTACATGCAGTATAATTATATATGAAAAATCAGCAAGGAACCACCACCTTATTCATGCAATTGCATGAAGAAATTGCATATGATCAGGGGTTAATGTTTTTACTATTTTAACTATAAACATTTATTATATTCTATCATGAGTGAATGATGATAAATTGTGAAATTATTTATATATATATATAAGGACCTTGAATAAGTTCTCGCTGTTTTTTTGTGAAAATTAACACTTTATTTTAAAAAAGTTGTAATAAACACGTCACTGAAAGTATTGTCCATCACTAGCCACTACTTTCTCCCATCGTTCTGGCAGCATTTGAATTCCATGTCGGAAAAACGACACGTTTTTTGAGGCTATCCAAGAATCAACCCATTTTTTGGCATCTTCATAAGAACGAAAGTGCTGCTCAGCCAGGCCATGTGACATCGATCGGAACAAGTGATAATCGGAAGGGGCGATGTCTGGTGAATATGGCGGGTGGGGTAGGACTTCCCATTTAAGCGTTTCCAAGTACGTTTTCACCGGTTGTGCAACATGTGGCCGAGCATTGTCATGTTGCAAAATCACTTTGTCGTGTCTCTGCTCATATAGCGGCCGTTTTTCCTTCAATGCTTGGCTCAAACGCATCAATTGTAGTCGATAGCGATCTCCCGTGATAGTTTCGTTTGGTTTGAGCAGCTCGTAATAAACTACACCTAGCTGATCCCACCAAATGCAGAGCAGAAGCTTCGAACCATGGATATTCGGCCTTGCTGACGATGTTGATGCATGACCGGGCTTACCCCACGATTTTCTACGCTTAGGGTTATCGTAGTGTATCCATTTTTCGTCACCTGTCACGATACGATGCAGAAAACCTTTCCTTTTCTGCCGTTGAAGCAGCTGTTCACATGTGAAAAGACGCCGTTCGACATCTCTCGGCTTCAACTCGTACGGCACCCAATGTCCTTGCTTTTGAATCATTCCTAATCCTTTTAAACGTTTCGAAACTGTTGTGTGATCAACTCCTAATGATTCTGCAAGTTCAGCTAGCGTCTGACATGAGTCTTCATGAAGTAATGCCTCTAATTCCTTGTCTTCAAACTTTTTTGGTGCACCAGATCGTTCTTTATCTTCAACATCAAAATCATTATTTTTGAAGTGTCTAAACCAATCTCTGCATGTTGTTTCCGACAGAGCATGGTCGCCGTAAGTCTCAACAAGAATTCTGCGTGCTTCAGCTGCAGATTTTTTTTGAATAAATTAGTGCAATAAAATTCCCCGCAAATACTCTTTTTTTTGGCATGAAACTAGACATGTTTAACACAATGAAAAAATAAGTTGTTTACACTTTGGTGAAATGATATATACTGAATTTCAAGGTCGCTTATTGTACTTCCTTACAGATGCGTCACCATCTACAAATAAACACATGTGGTTCTGGTAATGCCATCTGTTAAAGAACAGCGAAAACTTATTCAAGGTCCTTATATCATATTTTCTGTCTTATAAAGCACATTTCTCTATCCCAAAAATGTCAAAAATCATTGTGCATCTAAAGTTTTCATTATTTACTACATACACTAATTCTATGTTTAGATAGGTAAAGAGTCCGCATCTCTATGGTTGATGCAACCAGTTTTCTTGTGTGCCTTAAAGATCTCTAATTTCTCCAGATATTTCATTGTATGTAAATTTGTCGTAGGTTTAATAATTTCCGCCCAATCCCAATGGACTTGAATGTCGTGTTGCGTTGCATAAGACGATAGCACGGTGTTGTCAAGTTTCTTATTAATCGTATATTTATGCTCTTTGATACGTTGTTGCAATTTGTGCATTGTTGCGCTTACCTGGCGATCCTTTTACAAGAATTAATGACTATGTTTAGATAAATATAGAAAATATTTTAGAATTTTTCTATGTCTCCAATACTTTCTAGAGAAATACAAATTCAGAAATCTTAATGTGATTAAACTGTCAGTGCTAAATCCAATAAAAACCATCCCATTACTTTTACCTGTTGTCAAAATACTCATTAAAATTAACTATTAAATCTAGGAAAAAATATCTAGATTAAATTGGACTGACAAATTTATACCTGTAAATTCAAACCTTTAAGTCTGCTGAAAAATAATCATTTACTCTTTGTCTTAAACACAAATGATGTTTAAAACAAAATGCCCTATACTTCATAAAATTATTATTTACAAATACACCATCAACATAACACATGATTAAAAAAATAGTTATAATCATTATCTTAAACATAATCTTGTATTAATGTATTAAGTGCACTGGAGTTGTGCTTACTATGGAAAGAGGTAGTGGAAACAAATTTCACAATTTTCATTCATAACTGAGACAAAACACTGTTCATGCATCATGTTTTGAAATTGCAAAATATCCAATTGTAAAAAGATCTATTATGCATAAAAATATTATACTTTTGTTTTATGCAAATTATTATTTTGTATATTAAAAGAATTTAATATTTATATAAAAATAGAGAAAGAAAACTGGAACACAATATAAAAAACAGTCGTAATTTTTCTGAACAATTTGATGATTCAATTTAACTACATAAAATACTGAAATTTTAAGAACGGAAATACACAAATTTTATTTGATTTTAATAAGTAAAATCTATTTTTTGATTTATTGGATTATTAGAAAAAGCTGCTTTGCATTTTTAATGTTTCATTATTAAATAATGTAAGAATTTAGTAGAGAAATTCAAGAGAGATTTTTGAACATTACAAGAAAGAGTAAAAATTTTAAAACTTTTTTTTACAGAACAATTAAGTTAAAACTGAAGTTTACATGCTACATTTCACTATTTTTTTTGTTTAATTAATTTTTATGCAACACTGTTAATTACACCAACATTACCATATATTTCTGAACATAAATGTTTTCCAAGAGTACTGATTCTTAGCTACTAGGCTTATTTTTTTATATCACAATTCAGTAAATAATTTGATTTCTAGAAAAATTATACATATATTTATTTATTTAGTTAGTTTTTGCTATTTCCAACATTAAATATAAAATCAAACAGAATATTTTAGAAGCCCAATTCATTTCTTTGTGATGGATATCTATTGGCCATCTTCAGATGAGGTTTTTTCCACTTTGCCAATCTTTCTAGATTGGCAAAGTGAAAAAAAAAGAAGGAGGGGGGAAATCACAGAAAAATATTATTATAATGCTAATGATGTAATTTTTTTTAATAAATAATTTTCCAAAAAACTGATGACAAAAATGATTGATAAAATACTGATGTAAACACTCCCAAAATCTAGAACAGTTGATTAAAAACACTGCATACTACTCATATTTACGCCAGTATATAAAATTTAATGGAAGCACAAATGTTTTCAGCCACTTTAAGAAGCACAAGAGAGCTGCTTTTTTTATGCCAAACAAGTTAAAAAAATATTTCAAAACTGAACATTCCATGCATGCAATGATACAGTTTATAAATATTTGATATGTGATCAGATGCCGTTTCCAAAAATTTTAAATGTTAACCGACTCAAATACAATACAAATATTTATAATACTTTGCTCTACATATCTATATGATATGTAGAGCAAAGTATTATAAATATTTTAGTATTGTTAATATTTTCATTCTTAATTTATTATTTATACTAGCAAATGAGCCCAGTGTTGCTCAAACAAAAAGTAACGATAGCAAAGATTAAGATTATTAGATTATAGCCAATCTTAACCATTTCCACTGAGCGCAAGAATTAGGTCCCCTCTCTTCTGAGATTAATTAGAAAATTTTGCTTACCACACTGGGATAACAATAATTAAGATTCTCAGCAACCACTATCCAGTGAATACTATCACTAAATGATGAATAACAAACATTTTTGTAACCCCTTCTGGGTTCTTCTTCAGGTTTACTAAATTCGAAAAATAAGCTGAATCTTCCCAAATCATTCATAAACATAAATTCAAACATTAAGATGAAAAGTTTGAATAAATCAAACTTATGCACACACCCACCCTGCGTCAACTTTATATATGATGGAACACTAAATATCGTTGAGAATTTTTAGAAAAATCTAAAAATATGTTCAATTTTCTGCATAAATACAAAAAAGGCATCTAAAATAGTACAGTAGAAGCCGAGTTCATTGGGATAATCCTTAACCCTCTCTCTTCCCCCACAGTGGAAATTTTGAAAAACCCGTTCTTAATGTGCATCTCATGGCATACGCTATTAAAACGCAATCAAAAATGCAAAAAACCGCATCTAAAATAGTATAATAGAAGCCGAGTTCTTCATGGTAAGCCTTAATCTTGTCCCTCTCCCTCTTGAGGGAGAATTTTGAAAATCCCTTCTTAGTGTATGTTCTCATGACATATCCTAACTGTTACCAAATTTCAACTCCTAACTGTTTGGGCTCTGCAGTTATTAATATTATCATTATCAACCCATCTCGATTATATTATAAGATTATATTTTATAATATTTTGTTCTATCTATCTATATATATAAAAATGGACATGTATGTCCCTATATTTCACTTTTCCACCAAAACTACACATCGCACGTGAATGGTGTTTGTATGTCGTAGTAGCCCCAAGTCTCCATTCGTGCACATCTCGATAGCTATAAGGGTGCGGGAGATATGGGGCTGAAAGTGGTTGAAAGTGGTTTTCTATTTCGAATGTTATGCTCGAATTTAATTCGAACATAAAATTAGAATATTGGTTCGATTATAGAACGATTGTAAATGTTCCAGAAACATTGAAAATAGTTCATTTGACTGGACGTGAACAGGAGACGTTCAGAAATAGAATTGGGACCAGGTCTCTAATTAGTCTGGAAACGGGGGACCTAATTCTTGCATTCTGTGAAAACAGGTAAAATTGGCTATAATGTAATTATCTTAACCCCTCAGTCTCCATTGACGTATATATACGTCAAGCCTACATAGTGTTACGAAAAATGTGGTCCTTAAGGCCATTTTTGAAAAAAATTTTTTTTTTGAATTTTTGGAATGTTTTTTAGGTCCCCAAATTTTTTCAAAATTTTTTGCCCGTGCAAAAAAATTTTATCGCGATTTTAATCAACCTTTAANTTCTCTTTTGTTGAGGATAATTTACTTGTTCTTTATATTCTATATCCATGGTTCCCGAAGTGTGGATTGTGAGAACTGTGGGGTCACAAGGGATTTTACAATCACCTGTCATGTTTGCCCATAGAATTAAATATCTCTTCAGAAACATCACCTACAGCATAAGAGCTTTAATTTGATACCCAAACTATTTTTAACCCCAACCATTTACTCAAACTAAGTTGGACAAATTGAAACCCTCTTTCAATTACTATATAGACAATTAAGAAAAAAAAAACCACTAGAAATATTTAAAGAATTTTTTTCATTTGAAAAAATTGCCAGGACAAATTTAGATTTACAATAAATATATTTCTTGGGTAATAACAATTAACAAAAAATATATTTATTGGGTAATAACGAAACGATTTCACAGACTCTGCTGTGGAATCGTTATTATCTCAACAGTGTGTGAAAAAACTGAATGAAATAGACTCATCCAGTATGTACAGTCTACCAAGAAATATATTTTTTGTGAATTTTCATCACATGAAAAAATGTTTTATATTATATGAAATCATTTATCAACTTTAGCTAATGATCAATTAGAATCAGCAAATATTGTTTATTATTAATTTTACATGTTAATTTTTGCTACAAAAAAAAAAAAAAAAAAAAAAAGGCTCTCTTGCCTGATGATGGCCCCTTAGAGGCTGAAAATGTTTGTGCTTCCATTAAATTATGTGTTGGAGTAAGTATGAGTGGTGTGCAGTTTAAAATACTAATGAAAAAATTAAATTAAGTTGTTTCCACAATTATGTCAAAAATTTATAAAAGTATCCAGTGCAGATTTTTTCAGTAAAACAATTATGAAATTGATCTTCAATTTCCCTGTTACCAATACTTTTATTTCAGATATACAATTCATATATTTAATTATACATTTTAATTTTGAATAATTAAATATGTTTAACAAACTTGTGTGTTTACTCTACTAACTTTAAAAATGTTAAAGTTACAAGAAATGAAATAATAAAATTTTATATTAATCTCATTACTTTAAAATATAAATTTTATATATTCTCTAAAGTTAAATGTAACCAATAAAATTTATTAAAATTATGAATTAATACCTTTCAGATGCTTTAATATATCAAGACAAATGCAAATTTAATTCTAGAGGAAACTACTTCTTTTAAAATATTTATAATTTGATTAACATAATTTATTTGGGAAAATATTTCCAATGGAATGTACAGTACATCTAAAAAATAAAATTTGATTTTTAAAAAAAGATTTAATTAAAAGGTGAACCTAGGCTAATGTAATAATAAAAAAAATTGCTATTATGAATATATGAATGAAATAAATATTGATTAAGTCAAATGTACTGTACATTGTCATTTATACTGACAATCTCTCAATATTTTTAAATATTTAGCAAAACTAATAAAACCAGATTGAATTTAACAAATATTTTTAAAGCATAATCATAGACATTAAATCTGAATTGAACAGTTAATCCAAATTTAAAATACAGTAATTTTTTTAAATGAAAGATTTATCTAATAACAAAAATTCTCTGTTTAGTTTTGAGGCTCTGTACCCAAAGATGGAGCTATAATGACCTGGAATGCATACATTTTTAATTAAATCTGATATATTTATTCTGTTGAATTCATGTCTAGTATGTAAGAATGTGTGTATTCTCATAAAAGTTTGAATTTCAAATCTGTCACATCTATCAACAGCAAGTGTAGGTCTATCAGCACTTATAATTACAAATTTCTGTAGAATACATATTTAGTATAATTGCTTCAGGATAAAATCAATCATAGATATAAGATTATATTACTAATTAAAACTATAAAATGCAAACAGTTGATATAAAATTTATGTAACAGAGATTAAACATAATTAGAAGAATCATAATTTATTAAAGGATAAAAATTTAACTAAAATTAACCTTTAGAAATACTACCAAAAATTAGAATACCTGAATACATGGAGACTTCTGCTTAATCTCGCCATCTTCCTTCTTATCGTCATTTTCAATCTTAGATGTTTCTTCTTTTTCTTGATCATCTTCTTCAAAGTCTAATTCTAATGTTTCTAAACTTTTTTCTTTATCATTAGGCATATCATTTTTTTCTATTTTCATAGAAGAGTTCAAATTCATAACAGAAGTTTCTTTTATACACTGATCAAGAGAGGTATCTAAAATGTGATCAGAAGTATTTGAAGAATCTTCAGGCATTTTCTCAATGAAATTATCCACATCTTTCTGTGGATTTTCAGACTGATGATTATCATTGATTTTGCTACACTTGATTTTTGTTCTCTTGTCTACATTCTGTTCTTTAGATTTTTCAGTTTCATTGTCTGATTCATCTGATGAACTAGCACGACTGCTTTCTTCTGAATCTGCTGATTTTATATCAGATTCTGAACCTTCGTTAGAATCATTTTGACTTAAATTATCATGAGTTTCACTACCAGCATCACTAATATCAGAGTGATTTTCATCCAATGGGTGACTGGATGCATCCATCACAAATGTTAATCTGAAAAATTTCACATGAATCAAAAATTTAATGAAACAGTTTTAATAAGACTTTTTCTGTTATATATAACAAAATATTTTAAAACTGTGCATAATGATATCAATATTCAAATGTTTTAATATACTTTAATTTCACCTTTCTCATAGTGCACAAAATATTTTAATTAAATTTTGAATGTGGAGTTTTAAACAGACATTTGAGAACTGAAGCCTTAAAAAATGCAATCATTGTTTCAGTGTTTCCTATTTCTCAATAAAACAGATGAAAAAAGCTGGAACTGTAATTAACATGAAAATCTCAACACCATCCAGACATTTCCTAAAACCAAATTTATTAAGAACAAAGATGTTTTTGGCTTATTTCATAGGCATGTATCAAGTTTTACATAATATGTGAAACTTGAACAAAAGTGGAAGTTATATTATAACTTCCACTTCTTGCACAACTTGTATGTTCCAAAATAGACTATAACTATGTAGTAAAAAACTGGGTCTGAATTCTTTGTGTTTCTATGTTCTTATCATTTAAAACTTTGTTTTTATGTTGTCCACATAGACCTTGTTTATAAACAGAACTTATACTGGTGCAGTTTCAAATTAGCAAAGTGAGGAAATCTTACTCAAAAATAATACAAAAATATTTTTATTTTCCTATTTATAAACAAGATTTACATGGACAATATAAAAAAACAAAACTGGGTCTGAAGTTGGACAGTGAGTCTGCCCAAAAGCATTTGTCATTTTATTTAAAAATTGTGCTGGAAGAATAAGGTTCTCATATTAATTATTTTTGCCTCTACATTTACATAATTTTAAAATCACTTCATTACCAACTTTCATTACCAACTAGACATCTCTGTTCACAAGCTATTCCAAAATACTTAGTTTTTTATAATTTATATCTACACATAATATATATTAATACATACGTATATATAATATATCAATTTTTAAATTATTTGCCAAATGCTTAACCAAATGTCACTAGATTTTTTCAGACTGTAATATTGCTTTAAAAAAAAGTAAATAAAGGTAGTAGTATTATTTACATTTGCACCAAATTATTTTACTCATTGAAAATATAATAGAATTATATTTAGTATTTGACAAATGTGTTTGAGTATTTGACAAATTTATCCTATTAAAACTTAGAAAATTTATTATAAAAATTTTCCATAACAGAAAATACATAAAGTGTGTCTTTAAAATCTTGTCCTTTTGAACACATATGAGGAATTAACAGTCCTCCAGGAAAAGCTGACCTTTCTTTAGAGGCTACCCATCCACCTCAATATGTAAAACATTAAAATTTTCCTCTAACAATGGCACAATCAATTAATTTTTATCAAAATGTATATGTTTTAATTAATTGTGCCATTGCCAGAGGGAAAATTTTAATGTTTTACATATTGAGGTGGATGAGTAGCCTCTAAAGAAACGTTGACTCTGCCTGGAAGACTGTTATTTCCTTGTGTGTTCAAATGGATGAAATTTTAAAGACATTTTAAATATTGTCTGTTAGAAAATTTATAAAAAATTTTTCTGTAAGATTAAAACTTATTGTTCTTGATAATTTTTTATTAAATTTATCCTATTATTTTGTAAGTGTCTACATTAGTAATGAAAAAAAAGCTCATTTCTTAATTACAGTTCAGAGGTCATTCTAAAGTATTCATTTGCTATTCATATTATTGTACTAATTACATAAAAACGTTTTGACAAACCAGAGGTGAAAATAATTAGGAATGATGATAAAGCATTTAGAAAAGTTATGCCTAGTTTCATCAATTAATTATTATTAACAATAACAATTAACTAGCTTTATCAAATAACACATTTCTATTCTCATTGCATTATTCATAAAAATCTTGATAATAAACAAATGATGATGATACAAGTTTTATTCATGCACATTTGATTAAATATGGCCAGAAATTATCACTAGAATAGTTAATCATATTTTAGGATCTTGCTGTAATATCAATTGACTTAAAATTGATTAAAACTTGGCATCTCCTCAGCTGTTCTATGAATATGTGACTGCCCAACAATACCAGAACAGATGAGAACTATAGTGATATCTAGCTATTCCACATTCATTCTGCCATATGAATGTTCTTCATTTTAGTTATATACATTACTGGCTAAACTATGGGCTTAGAATATATCAAGAAACATTGAATATCATTAAGTTTTAGATTCCTTAAGTTTTGATATAAAAAAAATATTTTCTCATGCCAAGTAATTCTTACTAGATAAAATTTAAAAGCACTGTTTATTGGCATTAATAAATGCCTATAGATAGTGCTCTTAAATTTTATCTGGTAAGTTCTTTTTACCTCTGTGTTCTTACTCTTATAAATTTCTGTGTATCCTTGTCTACTTGGACCTTGTTATTAATAGGACTTTAATAAGTCCTATTAATAACAAGGTACAAACAGAAATTTATCTGGTAAGTTTTAATATTGACTGTTGAACATAAAAAAGCATGACATTTTGCATAACCCAGAAAATGGTAATTGTAATGTTAATGTTGTAATGTAAGCTCTGCTAACAGAATTTTTTTTTTTGACTGAATATGTTTCTAATGTTTACCAGTATGCTTTTGTTCAGACATATAATGAAATATTCAAGCTTTCAAGTACTTTAATGTGCAACAATTCAATGTAGAAATTGTCTTTAAAACTTTATCCCCAACATCTATATACTATTTCCTGATATTCAATGCAATGGAAAGGAATGAATTTTTTTCCCTTGAATCCAATATATATTTCTAGAAAGTAATTGTATATGTTCATAAAAGAATCAATTAAACAGACTGCATAAAAGTTGTCTTTTAGCAGTACTGCTAAAAACAACATTTTAAATTAAAAAGGTTTAATGTTGAAGAACAAAAGCACAATTCATGACTGTTTCTGTTTTCCCTTGAAAGGTATGTTTAAAAAGTTGACACTTTTAATACAGTAGAACCCCGACTATTTGAAGTAAACCCATAAGTGACTATTATGCTCCTAGAACTGTTAGAAATTTTTAAAGATAACCAAAAACTATTTTGTATCAATCAAAGGGATGCTGACACCGTGACTATGGCATTGAAGTTCATTTATGAAATATAATTTGGGACTTAGTCATCTTATAATTGTTTTTGTTTATATTAATCTCAATTTTTATCAATTTCATACCATTTTGTTTATTTGTATACTATTTAATTAATTTGTTAATGTTAATTTCTATGCAAATGCTCTCTTTAAAATGCTTTTCAATTTTTAAATGATTTCCGTTGCATTCGATATGCTCATGTTTGTTCGTTTTATTTTAAATTCATGTACTCACTGAGGCAGGCCTATGATATTAGGTCATAAACTTTTTGATTTATTAAATTTACTACTGGAGTTACAAGGTGCTCTGTTTATTGTTTCTTATTCTTTGGTTAGGTCTTATTTATTGAATACACTATTTTTGTATACTGCAATTCATGAAAGAAAATTTAAAATGATAATACACATTACAAAATGATTTGTTTCTGTAATTCTTTTATCATTTAACTTCAATCTGAGACAAATCATTCATATTAAAATATAACTATAAAAACACACATTTTTATTCTTAAAGTTTTGTATGTATATTAGCTATATAATACATGATGTACAAATTGTTATTCTTATATATAATTAAATTCACTAAGATATAAAACTTGGATAATCAGGGTTCTACTATATATGCAGTGTTCATCAATAAGACAGTAGATTCTAATTTTAACAGATTGCAGAATGATGAATTTTCCAAAGGGCCTGCCAAATCAATGTAATTTTACCTCTTTAGCAGATCTGAACTTAGAATAACAGATTTTTTTTCTACACTCAACTACTGTAAACATTGCATTTTTTTCAATGCTAATTGACTTAATATTTGGGTGTTTATGGGTACTTAATTAAAAAAAATGTATTTCACATAGAGCAAATTGTGCATAATTGTTATGGTCACATTGCTAACCTTGAAGCTTTATGTCAGTGCTCTCCTGTTGTACACTGATTAATGATGGAAAGCTACTTTTGGTTGTTGTACTCAATAGACAGAAAAGTAGCATTAAAACAAATCAAGATGAATGAGCTTTTAACAAATTGTAAAGTCAAATAAAGTGTTAATGATAATATGCACTGTACTTTTGCATATTCTCATTAACACTTCATTTGACCTTACAATTTGTTACCAATTTTATATTTTTCATGATTAAAAATAAGCTACTTGCTGTTCTATTTGTGTATTTATATAATCAGACATGTTTAGATAAAGGTAATTGAATACATTAAACTTTTGTAATATGGTAACAAAATATTGAAATCAGTAAGTAAGAATTAATAACATACGTATCCAAAGGGCGAATAGTGCAAAATATCTAGGTATCGAAATAGATGACAGTCTCCTATGGCACCTTCACATAAATACTATCCTTATCCAAGTTTACCTTAATACTTAAGAAAATAAAGAGATACCCAAACTTTGAAACTGTTTTTATGTAAACATGCCAAAGTTTTAATTTCACTTTAATGTCTTATGTATTTAAATTTTAAATTTGAATACTACTGTGGTATGGTATTAATATTCAAAACTAAATTCAATAAGTATTCCAATTAATAATTATTGTTATATGAAATTTTGGATAACTTCATTAACAACATCATTATGGCCCACACACCTTATGTCTCTGATAACCAATATTTATTGTTTTAGAAACATTTTCAACCTGATCTACAGGCCATCGTCAGGTATTTTGAATTCTCTGGGATGTTTTTTGTATTGGTTCCAGGTTTGAATGATTATGTGAAAAGAAATTCAAATTTTTTATAACTGTTTTGAACATCTCGCTGAAATATCAAATATATCAAAAATGTAACAAATAGTATATGAGGGCTGTTCAAAAAGTTTGCGGCCTTGCCTACATGTGGCGCTGCGATCAATTTAATTTTTGGTGGGAATAATTCAGCCATCTTTGCTAAAGATACAATACCAATTTCCGCTTGACTTGTCAAAAAGTTTTGCCACGACAGCTTAGCAGATAGTCAGTGTGCACATGCTTTATCAAAAATGGAGAAGATGGAGACTCGTGCAATCATAAAATACCTGACGAAAAAAGGGTTGACCCCATCTCAAATCAAAGCTGACATGGATGAAGTTTTAGGAGAGTCTGCTCCTTCGTACACCACTGTGAAAAAATGGACAGCCCTTTTTAAATCTGGCAGAGAAAGTGTGGAAGATGACCCTCGCAGCGGACGGCCGTCAACTGCTGTCACTGAAGAAAACATCGACAAAGTTCACGATTTGGTATTAGCAGATCGCCGTTTGAAAACGCGTGAGATAGCTGAGACAACAGGCATCTCTGTCGACCGAGTGCACCACATCCTAACCGAAGATTTGGGTATGACGAAGGTCTCAGCAAGGTGGGTGCCGCATCTGCTGACCGCCGAGCAAAAACGTGTTCGCACTTTGATGTCAAAGGAGTGTTTGGACTTCTACCAGAAAAACCCACAGGATTTCTTGCGTCGGTTTGTGACTACTGACGAAACGTGGATCCATTACTACACTCCTGAAACAAAAGAACAGTCGAAGCAATGGAAACACCACAGTTCGCCACCACCAAAGAAGGCAAAGACAGTTCCATCAGCGGGTAAAGTGATGGCCTCGGTTTTTTGGGATGCTAAAGGCATCATCTTTATTGACTACCTAGAAAGAGGAAAGACCATTAATGCTGTCTATTACTGTGAACTTTTGGAAAAACTGAAGAAAGAAATCGAAGAAAAGAGGCCACACTTGAAGAAGAAAAAAGTTCTGTTCCACCACGATAATGCACCTGCACATTCCGCCAGAATCACTGAACAAAAGATAAACGAACTTCGCTTCCAATTAGTTCCACATCCACCGTACTCACCTGATTTGGCCCCCAGTGACTTCCACCTTTTTCCAAACCTAAAAAAATTCTTGGCTGGAAAGAGATTCCACTCAAATGACGAAGTCATCTCTGAAGTGAATGAGTATTTTGCACACCTTGACAAATCGACCTATTGTGATGGCATAAAAAAGCTAGAACATCGCTGGAATAAGTGCATTGCTAACAGAGGAGATTACATTGAAAAATAAAAAAAATTTTAACATTATTTTGTTTGTTTTTCTATGTGAGGCCGCGAACTTTCCGAACAGCCCTCGTAAATATATTAAATTGAACTAATTAAAATACATGGAATAAAATAAAATAATACTAACACAATATACATAATTATATCAATCGAATGTGCATTACATATTATATTTTATTACATTATTTTTTATCATAAATTTCCATGCCAATGGTAATCCTCTGGCATCTTTGTAGTTTAAACACTTGCCAGTAAGATTGGATCAATATACTTCAAACTTTTCTATAGTCATTGCTAAAGACAATGAGCGCACTGGTCTACCAATCTTAGCCTCATTCTATTCAACAACCGAACCCTCTGTTTGTGCTACTATGGATAGTGCCGTAGTATAGTGCCCTTTGTTTACATTGTATATATGCTCTTTAAGCCTTTTGCTGAAATTCCTAGTAGTGACACCTATATATTCTTTGTTCAGGCCTAATTGATCATTTTTATATGGTATCTTGTATACCCCAGTTGTTCTTCCTCTTTGATCGTATCTTTATCATTTCTAAGCAAATTATAAACTGTGGTACCCTTTTGTATAGTAATCTTGTATTCTTGTAGTCTGCAATTTCCTTCATGATATTGGACATTCCTCTGTTGTAAGTGAACTTAGTAATTTCTTTGTTCATATTCTGCTTTGTCTTCTTTTTGTTAGGATTTGAGTATGAGCTTATTAACTCCTCAATAACTTTTGCTCCAAATCCCAAGGTTCTAGCAATGGTTCTGATCTTATTCAATTGTCACAACCTGTTGTACACATTGGAGTAATAATGGAATGCTCTTCTAATAAGAGCTCTAAATGCCAAAAGCTTATACGTGTGTGTGTGTGTGTGTGTGTGTGTGTGTGTGTGTGTGTCATTGGAGAAGAAAGGAATGTATAATGGGTCATGGGTGGATTTGATATATACCTTTGTGCTTAAGGAACCGTTTTTGAATGAAATGCCAATGTCCAATTAACAACAACATTTGTAATGTTAATAGGAAAACAATTGCCAGATTTTATTAGGTTGTTTCAACTAAGAATAGAGCTAAATGAAGAGATTTCATTCAGCCTCATTATCATTGATCAACTGAGAAAAATAGACTGCCTTGTTTGTTTTATTACATTTATTACATCATCTTGTAGGGACTAAAAATTGATTGCTATCTCCTGATCTAGGCTAAATCTTCTTTTTTCTGTTTGAACGTACATAAAAATCTAAAGTTTCATTTGTTTGAAAAGACAATCAGATTTCAATATATAAAATGATGAACAGAACTGATCATTTTGAAAATTCTAATAAATTATATGGAAATAGAGATTAACTTTATTTTCTAAAATTAATGTAATAATACATTAGTAATTTTGAAACCATGTAATAATACATATTAAAAAATAAATTCTTTAAATGCTTAGACATTACAATATATAACAACTATCAAATTAAATAGTTAAAAATATTTCAAATTAATTTGTTTTAATCAGTATATAAAAATTATAATGGATAAGAAATATTGCATTCTAATATTAAAATACAGATGATGAACATTTGAAATGAAAAATATAGTTAACATCAAGCTGGAACCTCAGTTTACAATATAAAAATTATAACCTTACTATTTCCAGCAGATAATTTCAGTCCTGTACTAATGTTTTCAACTCCTTTGAAAAGTTGAAAATGGTAGAATATTTTTAAATTGAATGTTTCTTCACTATGTAAAAAAGAATTCTTAAAAAGCATTCCAGAACTAGAATCTCTTCAACTTTTCAAATTTACTATGGTAAAGATCTAAAGAAGATTTCTCAAAGGAGTCAAAAACATTTGTGTAGGACTGAAATTATCTGTATGAAATAGTGAGTAAAGTTATAATTTTTATATTATAATATTTATAATTTTTTTAGATTACTGAATAAAAATATACATATCACAAATAAACAACATTAAGCAATGAGAATATATCTTCATAACAGATTGTGTATATTATTTATGAAACTATATATGGAAACATATGATAGGCCTACAGTAAACAAAGACTAAACTATATATTAATAACCAAATGATAATTCTGGATTCATTATCAAACTATACTATAACCTGGTTAATTAAATGTGCAGATATTTCATAATTAGGACTGAAGGAAAGCAATTAAGTTGCCATCTTGTATTAAATTTGATCATTAGAATTCATTCATTTAGAATATTCTGGAAGAAATTATTAATCCACAGTGTGATTAAAATTCACATCTGCTTATCATGCAGATGTGTTGCCAATCATGCTACCTTTGTCCAATCTTTGCTTTTATACCAATTAATCTAGAAGGTAAAGCAACACTGTTCTGTTCACTCACTGCAACTTAATCACCCATCATTAGTCCAAATTCAAACTATCTATACATTTAAGTAGCCAGGTTATAGCCTGATCAATATATTTCAAACTTTGAAATATATTGCACTGTCATTTGATTAGTAAAACAATATATCAAATATAATATTTACAAATAATAGTTATACAATAACTCTTCATATTTATCTATGTAACTAACACCTTATCCTTGCCAAGAAATATAATTTATTTCAAACAAACGTTTTCAGCCTGATTCACAGGCCATCTTCAGGTTGAGAACCAAATTTGAATTAAAGGATTCCATCAATGGAATACAAAAATTCAAAATTAAATAAGCAACAGAATAAGATAAAATAAAAAATAAAAATTTAAATAATAAATAACCAACGGAGTAACAAAATAAAAATGTAAAAAATGTACATAGAAGTATTAAAAAATACAATTACTAACNCAACTAGACATCTCTGTTCACAAGCTATTCCAAAATACTTAGTTTTTTATAATTTATATCTACACATAATATATATTAATACATACGTATATATAATATATCAATTTTTAAATTATTTGCCAAATGCTTAACCAAATGTCACTAGATTTTTTCAGACTGTAATATTGCATTAAAAAAAAGTAAATAAAGGTAGTAGTATTATTTACATTTGCACCAAATTATTTTACTCATTGAAAATATAATAGAATTATATTTAGTATTTGACAAATTTATCCTATTAAAACTTACTAAAATTTATTATAAAAATTTTCCATAACAGAAAATACATAAAGTGTGTCTTTAAAATTTTGTCCTTTTGAACACATATGAGGAATTAACAGTCCTCCAGGAAAAGCTGACCTTTCTTTAGAGGCTACCCATCCACCTCAATATGTAAAACATTAAAATTTTCCTCTAACAATGGCACAATCAATTAATTTTTATCAAAATGTATATGTTTTAATTAATTGTGCCATTGCCAGAGGGAAAATTTTAATGTTTTACATATTGAGGTGGATGAGTAGCCTCTAAAGAAACGTTGACTCTGCCTGGAAGACTGTTATTTCCTTGTGTGTTCAAATGGATGAAATTTTAAAGACATTTTAAATATTGTCTGTTAGAAAATTTATAAAAAATTTTTCTGTAAGATTAAAACTTATTGTTCTTGATAATTTTTTATTAAATTTATCCTATTATTTTGTAAGTGTCTACATTAGTAATGAAAAAAAAGCTCATTTCTTAATTACAGTTCAGAGGTCATTCTAAAGTATTCATTTGCTATTCATATTATTGTACTAATTACATAAAAACGTTTTGACAAACCAGAGGTGAAAATAATTAGGAATGATGATAAAGCATTTAGAAAAGTTATGTCTAGTTTCATCAATTAATTATTATTAACAATAACAATTAACTAGCTTTATCAAATAACACATTTCTATTCTCATTGCATTATTCATAAAAATCTTGATAATAAACAAATGATGATGATACAAGTTTTATTCATGCACATTTGATTAAATATGGCCAGAAATTATCACTAGAATAGTTAATCATATTTTAGGATCTTGCTGTAATATCAATTGACTTAAAATTGATTAAAACTTGGCATCTCCTCAGCTGTTCTATGAATATGTGACTGCCCAACAATACCAGAACAGATGAGAACTATAGTGATATCTAGCTATTCCACATTCATTCTGCCATATGAATGTTCTTCATTTTAGTTATATACATTACTGGCTAAACTATGGGCTTAGAATATATCAAGAAACATTGAATATCATTAAGTTTTAGATTCCTTAAGTTTTGATATAAAAAAAATATTTTCTCATGCCAAGTAATTCTTACTAGATAAAATTTAAAAGCACTGTTTATTGGCATTAATAAATGCCTATAGATAGTGCTCTTAAATTTTATCTGGTAAGTTCTTTTTACCTCTGTGTTCTTACTCTTATAAATTTCTGTGTATCCTTGTCTACTTGGACCTTGTTATTAATAGGACTTTAATAAGTCCTATTAATAACAAGGTACAAACAGAAATTTATCTGGTAAGTTTTAATATTGACTGTTGAACATAAAAAAGCATGACATTTTGCATAACCCAGAAAATGGTAATTGTAATGTTAATGTTGTAATGTAAGCTCTGCTAACAGAATTTTTTTTTTTGACTGAATATGTTTCTAATGTTTACCAGTATGCTTTTGTTCAGACATATAATGAAATATTCAAGCTTTCAAGTACTTTAATGTGCAACAATTCAATGTAGAAATTGTCTTTAAAACTTTATCCCCAACATCTATATACTATTTCCTGATATTCAATGCAATGGAAAGGAATGAATTTTTTTCCCTTGAATCCAATATATATTTCTAGAAAGTAATTGTATATGTTCATAAAAGAATCAATTAAACAGACTGCATAAAAGTTGTCTTTTAGCAGTACTGCTAAAAACAACATTTTAAATTAAAAAGGTTTAATGTTGAAGAACAAAAGCACAATTCATGACTGTTTCTGTTTTCCCTTGAAAGGTATGTTTAAAAAGTTGACACTTTTAATACAGTAGAACCCCGACTATTTGAAGTAAACCCATAAGTGACTATTATGCTCCTAGAACTGTTAGAAATTTTTAAAGACAACCAAAAACTATTTTGTATCAATCAAAGGGATGCTGACACCGTGACTATGGCATTGAAGTTCATTTATGAAATATAATTTGGGACTTAGTCATCTTATAATTGTTTTTGTTTATATTAATCTCAATTTTTATCAATTTCATACCATTTTGTTTATTTGTATACTATTTAATTAATTTGTTAATGTTAATTTCTATGCAAATGCTCTCTTTAAAATGCTTTTCAATTTTTAAATGATTTCCGTTGCATTCGATATGCTCATGTTTGTTCGTTTTATTTTAAATTCATGTACTCACTGAGGCAGGCCTATGATATTAGGTCATGAACTTTTTGATTTATTAAATTTACTACTGGAGTTACAAGGTGCTCTGTTTATTGTTTCTTATTCTTTGGTTAGGTCTTATTTATTGAATACACTATTTTTGTATACTGCAATTCATGAAAGAAAATTTAAAATGATAATACACATTACAAAATGATTTGTTTCTGTAATTCTTTTATCATTTAACTTCAATCTGAGACAAATCATTCATATTAAAATATAACTATAAAAACACACATTTTTATTCTTAAAGTTTTGTATGTATATTAGCTATATAATACATGATGTACAAATTGTTATTCTTATATATAATTAAATTCACTAAGATATAAAACTTGGATAATCAGGGTTCTACTATATATGCAGTGTTCATCAATAAGACAGTAGATTCTAATTTTAACAGATTGCAGAATGATGAATTTTCCAAAGGGCCTGCCAAATCAATGTAATTTTACCTCTTTAGCAGATCTGAACTTAGAATAACAGATTTTTTTTCTACACTCAACTACTGTAAACATTGCATTTTTTTCAATGCTAATTGACTTAATATTTGGGTGTTTATGGGTACTTAATTAAAAAAAATATATTTCACATAGAGCAAATTGTGCATAATTGTTATGGTCACATTGCTAACCTTGAAGCTTTATGTCAGTGCTCTCCTGTTGTACACTGATTAATGATGGAAAGCTACTTTTGGTTGTTGTACTCAATAGACAGAAAAGTAGCATTAAAACAAATCAAGATGAATGAGCTTTTAACAAATTGTAAAGTCAAATAAAGTGTTAATGATAATATGCACTGTACTTTTGCATATTCTCATTAACACTTCATTTGACCTTACAATTTGTTACCAATTTTATATTTTTCATGATTAAAAATAAGCTACTTGCTGTTCTATTTGTGTATTTATATAATCAGACATGTTTAGATAAAGGTAATTGAATACATTAAACTTTTGTAATATGGTAACAAAATATTGAAATCAGTAAGTAAGAATTAATAACATACGTATCCAAAGGGCGAATAGTGCAAAATATCTAGGTATCGAAATAGATGACAGTCTCCTATGGCACCTTCACATAAATACTATCCTTATCCAAGTTTACCTTAATACTTAAGAAAATAAAGAGATACCCAAACTTGGAAACTCTTTTTATGTAAACATGCCAAAGTTTTAATTTCACTTTAATGTCTTATGTATTTAAATTTTAAATTTGAATACTACTGTGGTATGGTATTAATATTCAAAACTAAATTCAATAAGTATTCCAATTAATAATTATTGTTATATGAAATTTTGGATAACTTCATTAACAACATCATTATGGCCCACACACCTTATGTCTCTGATAACCAATATTTATTGTTTTAGAAACATTTTCAACCTGATCTACAGGCCATCGTCAGGTATTTTGAATTCTCTGGGATGTTTTTTGTATTGGTTCCAGGTTTGAATGATTATGTGAAAAGAAATTCAAATTTTTTATAACTGTTTTGAACATCTCGCTGAAATATCAAATAT